AACAGATGCTAATTTAAAAACTTCTGGAAGCTGTACTTATTGAAATTAAGGAATGAGACTTGTTCGAAATTAAAGCTCAAAGCTTTCTCTTTAAAATGATATATCATAATTGTTGGGTTGGATTGGAAAAATATTGAGAAAAAAAATGTTGAAATAAAACTTACATTTTCGTATAACCTAAAAGTGTCAAAAAAGATGCTAATTTAAAAATTCCTGGAAGCCGTATTTATTGAAAATAAGGAATGAGACTTGTTCTAAATTAAAGCTCAAAGCTTTCTCTTTACAATGATGTATAATAATTGTTGGGTTGAATTGGAAAAATATTGAGAAAAAGACTGTTGAAATAAAACTTACATTTCCGTATAACCTAAAACTGTCAAAAAATATGCTAATTTAAAAATTCCTGGAAGCCGTATTTATTAAAATTAAGGAATGAGACTTGTTCTAAATTAAAGCTCAAAGTTTTCTCTTTAAAATGATGTACCATAATTGTTAGGTTGGATTGGAAAATATTGAGAAAAAAATGTTAAAACAAAACTTACATTTTCGTATAATCTAAAACTGTCAAAAAAGATGCTAATTTAAAAATGTCTAGAAGCTGTGCTTATTGAAATTAAGGAATGAGACTTATTTTAAATTAAAGCTTAAAGCTTTCTCTTTACAATGATGTATAATAATTGTTGGGTTAAATTGGAAAAATATTGAGAAAAAAATGTTGAAACAAAACTTACATTTTCGTATAACCTAAAAGTGTCAAAAAAGATGCTAATTTAAAAATTTAATAAATGTTGGAAATGTTGTCCATTTTGATCTAAACATAAGTTCACCTTTCGTTTTATATTGTTGAACACATTTTGAAGTGTTTCTGGAGTAATACCTTGAACGGCTTCTGTAATTGCTTCACGTAATTCATCCAAATTATGTAATCGATTACAGGATGCTTTAGTTTTTAAGTATCCAAACATAAAACAATCTAATGGCGTCAAGTCAGGTGAGCGAGGAGGCCATCGATCTCTGCTTATCACCCTGTCATCAAAGAACTGATGCAAATGTTCCAATGTCATCATCGTGAAGTTACTCGATAAATGGATTTAGAATTATTTCTCGATAATTTGTTGCATTGATATTTTCATCAAAGAAAATAGGGCCAATAATTCTTCTTCTAGACATTGCCAACCAAACACTAACTTTTTGAGGATGTAAAGGACTTTCAACAAACACATGTGGATTTTCTGCAGCCCATATTCGACAGTTTTGTGAATTTACATAACCACTCAAATGAAACCATGCTTCGTCACTGAACATGTTATCATTATTTAAAACTTCGTTAAACCAATGACAGTACTGCATGCGACGAGGAAAATCAGGAAACTGCAGCTGATGAACCACAATCACTTTGTATGGATGTATACCCAACACTTTTTTACAAGCCTTTTGACATAAACCAAGAAATAAATTTGTTTGTGCTGATAAGCATCGTAAAGATTTCTTGGGGCTTGTTTCCATTCTTTCACGAACATCTTCTGTAAGAACTATGGGCCGGCCAGTAGATTTTCCTTTACAAAGTGATGACGTTTGCACATGTTGAATAAAGGAATCAGAAATAACGTTGACTTCAGGAAACTCCTCTTGAAATTTGGTACGAATATTTCCAAATTCCTTCTTCATTGCGTATTCCTGTGCGGAAATAAGCTTCAACAATTAATCGATTATGTAAATCGGTGAAAGCCATTTATTTACTAATGTTATTGTTTACCTATCACAAATACGCGTAATTCAGGTGACAATAAAAAAAGCCTTTTTTGATAATAAATATAAAATTGTAAGAGAAAAATATGAAATATAACTCAAAAGCCAAATTCAAACACCTTACAATCATTGTTGAACGCTCTGTAGAAGGTACCAACAGCTCTAAATGCGCCGAATAGATGACTACAGTTTAAAATTACCAGTACTTTAAAGTATCGACAAGGTTTTTTTAAAGATAAATATCAAATCCTTCAATAATCAAATTACGGTGTCAGGTAAAGATAAATAGTTTATGTAAACAAAGCAGTTCATTCCAGGAAACCCAGTTAATTACAACCAAATTAGGAAGAATTTGTTTACAATTCAAAAACAATTCTTATTATTTAATTAAGTATTAAGAACCATTTTTATAATTTCAAGTAAATACACGAGCAACAATTTCTAAAATGACCGTTTGCGATTCAATTCAAGGCCGTAAAGTAGTCAGGCGTAACGACCGATTTCATATACATTAAACAGAACACGCCTCCTCTTCTGCAAGACCTCGAGCTTAGCGGCAGCAGGTCGCGTGACAAATACTGTTTACACCGTACGTTCAACATGAGGATGCCAAAAAAGCAATTTTAAAGTCACTTTCTCCGTCTACTGCCCCCCGTGAGTTTAATAGAAGCCTGTTCGAATCTGGGGCAAAGCGCAAATCCGTCGTAAAGGACGAAGATTCGTCTCGACTCTGCCTCTCTGGGACTGCCGACGCCGTTTCTGCGCCAATTACTGTGCTATTAATAGCGTCGTTATAGTTTATTATAAACGGCGAGAAGGGAGTGAGATGGATTCTTAAGATACAAAGATTTAATTTGAACTTGATTAAAAATAAAAAATTAAACAAATTTTCTAATTTCATAAAGTAAATCGGGTGATTGACCGTGGCCGCTCGATCAGCGCATCGGCGTCGGCCATCACGGCCGAAATCGCGTCTGGTGGGGCCATAATCGGGGGGGCGTCGATCGAAAGAGAGGGGTTTGAACCGCACGATGATGGGGGGACAATATACGATGTCTGTGTTGTTCTAAGCGAGATTCGAAAAGCAAGAAAGAAAAACTTTTAACCAAACATTCATAAAATAAAAAACGTTGAAAAAATAAACCAAGAAAGCGATTTCTTTTTGGCCACAAAGAGACATTGAAAGAAAAGATGTGGTGGGTTAGCGGCATAGAAAACGTGTTGCTCTTGCACAACTTCACATACAAGAGAGGAGAAAGCTAATGTTTCGCCAATGGCAATTAACTGTTAATTGACGAGTTCTAAACCCATCATCAACGTCATCCGGATTCATTTCTATTCAATTCACTAAGTATTTATATAAATCATTTTTTAATAAAACCCAACTTTCCTTGAACTTGTTCGTCCCTCGAGAACTAAGTCCCTTCTTCTCGAAGTTTCTCTCAAAGTAGAAAACTTAAAGAGTACTTAATTACCAGCTTTTTTTTCTTTCAAATCACGTTTAAGCGTTTTTTAATCAATTTGGGGTCACCACACTTCGAAATGATCTCTATTATGGCTTTAAAAGTACTTTAACATTGTCCCAAATTTTAACTAAAACGAATTTTTAATTAATAAATAAAATTTGTTTAAATTTAAATTTTAGCGAAATCTGTCAAAAGTGAAAAAGCGTTTAAATTTTCATGCAACACCTTCGTGAGCGTTTAACCTTTCCGATTCTATGGCTACGTTAATATGTGTTGGGGAAGTAATTAGTGCGAAATATGCGTTTGGGGAAAGTTATTAAATAAATATTAATCGATCGAAATTAGCCTTAGAAAACTCAACTCCTCTGTCATTGACAACTAGTCTAGTCAAGATAACTACAATGACAATGATATTGGTGTAGAACGTGGATGGGGAGCCATAAAAAAGGCTCTCATTAACACGCAAGATATCAACATTGCATGATCCAGCTCATAATAGAGAAAAGCCATCTTTAAAAAAAATTTCCTGTGTAATATGTTAATCTCACACTCCGCTTGCTTGAATGTTTTCATCTGAACCTGAGCATGATATTGTTTTTGTTTAATTTTGTCCATTATATGTTGTTGTAATATTTTTTTTTACTTCTGCACATGATATTTTCTTCTGCAAATCATTATAACGTCGTTTCTACTCCTAATCCTTTCATTGTACATCTGAAATTGTGATTCTGTTCGTGATGTTTTGCTTCTGCACAACCTGCAAATAACTAATAAATAAATCAATACTGTTTCTGCTAAAATATTACTTCTACTCATTATATTTTGTTTCTGGCCATAATATTTTCTTCTATATCTCATTTTCTCCATCATTGATTTCACCCATAATTAATTTTATACTAAGATAAGGAAATAAAGTCAAATAACCAACAATTCTCTAAAGCACAATTATTATATATATCCTAATAAAGGGTTCACTAGGACGTGGTCTTGTTGATAATGAATGTTGCAAACTGCCAAGCGATGTTATTTTATTTTATTAATTAGCTAGAAGATTACATAACATCAAAGAGACATCTGCAAATAATGACGCTAAAACATATTTCCTCACCCAACATCTTTAGGCGAAATGCTCAACGTTGGCGATTTAATTTTGTAAATTAATGCAACTTGACTTATAGGATTTACTAATTATAGAGGTTTAGAAATCTTAAATACAACACTTAATCAAGTGGAATTAAAAACGTGTCGACCCCCATCACATGCATTAAGTTGTATTAATCCAATTTGAAAAGATTTTGCTCCTCCACTAACAATAAGAAGAGAATCTTACCTTAAACTCCCTTTGTAATATTATAATCCTCATTTTCGAAAACAATCCAACTTCATGCTTGACGTTTCATAACTGTCATTTTTGACAGACGTCAAATTTGACGTTTACACTCGAATTACAATTTTGGTTTATCATTTACATGCGAATGCTGACGACAAACAAATACACAGAGAGTGAGTGGACGATAAAAATAAAAAATAAAACGACAACGAAAGGTTTTCTTTTTAAACGAAATAATAGTAAAGCTTTTTGTTCTGTTAAAGAAAATACGCGTGGAGAAACGAAGGAGGAAAATTGGGGATCCGAACGCGACACTGACCTTTCTCTCTCGGGGATCAGCTTAACGTTTTCATTTTAGAATAAACGCATTTTGCGCTGTGGTTACGATAAGCGATAAGTTGCGTAAGTAAACGTTCTATTTTAAAATAACTTAAAATAGGATTTGTTGTTCTTACCTAAGGACGTCCTCGAAATGAGTGTGTTGTATCCTTGTTTCCTCTTTTTCGTGGTGAAATTTGAGTGAAAAAAAAAGTAGGTAATCCTTTTAGTTAAAGAAGGTTTTGTCGAGTTGTAACACTTGCACTTAAAAAAGAAGCTCTACACAACAACCGTTCATCGGCGATGAAACAGGTTTCCGTCGTTCTCTCGGGCTCACTCAAAAAACCCAACACAAAACCAACAACTGGGGGACTAAAAAAAATGGAAAAAATAAAGTAATTCGCTACTTATTTTCTTTTAGGTCCGCGAAAGTCGTTTACGTGGCACACATTTCGATTTTCACATAATTTCACTGTTATTTATCGGAAATCATATTATTAGTTCTCTTTTTCTGTTTCTGCGTATTCTTCCGGGACACTTTTTAACCGATCCGGTTGGGACGTTTTAACGGGATTAAACGTCGGAAATCGCCGATTGCTAACGCGGGAAACAAGTCGGAAATTTCTCGCTTTTTTCTCTCTGTTTCGGATTCACAGTAAAAAGGCGCGGTTCTAAACGATTCGTCGACGTGGCCCCGACGACGATTTACGCTCAAATGTGCGCTACTTTAAAACATCGGGCGCAAACTCGACGATCTGTTAATAGTGGGGGGCCCACCTTCTATCATTTTAATACTAAAAGCAAAAAAAAAAGACTACATTAAATAAATCCCAACCAATAATTTACTTTACCTATTTCATTATAATCACAACAACATTTTTAATATAAACATAATTATTCTTTTCAAAACGTTATTTGAATGGAAACGTCATTTTGGAAATGAAATGAGGTTATGTTATGTAGTTAACTACCTTACCGACTTTTGACAAGATAACCTGTTCTACCGGTGGGATGAAAATTTCCTTATAAATCAGCACCTTGGCATACTTTCTCCGTTTTAAGAACCAGATTTTTGTCCCCGAATTTATCAATTTCGAGGAAGGTTATTTTAATATTACAATGTAATTTTTCTTCGTAAATGTCACAACCACAAAAATTATTGCATTAACCAATTTTGTTTTTATATGCAATTAATTTAAACATTAACATTTAAAAGAAATCGGATAACTTGTTCTTAATGTTTAAATAAACTAAAAATAAACATGATTTAAAATTATTATATGAAATTCATTATCAGGTATGCAACACATTTAGCACAAAATTTTAAGTAAACTGTATTACCAACATATTAATAATTTTTGTTCTTTTTTCGTATTTATTTATGATAAATAGCATATTAATTGTTTATTTTTATTATTGAAAAGGACGTATTTTGTTACGGAGTATGAGTTTTTATTATAATATTAATGCGATAGAACGGCTGCTAAAAAGAAGATGGCGCTATTATTATTACTTCCAAACTGAGGGGAGCTACTCTTTCAGATGATCTAAATAAGAAGATCTTTGCTTATTCAAACTGTTCTTTTCTCTCCCTTGTGTGTCTTTGCGGTCGTTATCGAACCAAGCCTCCTTCCTCTTGTAAGTTTGGTATCCCAGTATTTTTTTGGCCTGTTTCCATGATTGCTACTTTAATTTTGGTCCAATGTCCTTGTACTGTTATTAGAGAGTCAGTTTTCTTGTTATATCACTAGAGAATAAAGAACAATATCTTGTGGGCATCCCAGGACTAGAAAGGAGACTCTTATCAACTAATTGGTGGTCTATCTGGTTATGGGTGGCGCCATCTGTTGATGTGAATTTCTATGAGAAACATATTGAGGTTATTTTCAAACTTTTGGTTGTAGCAAAATTTAATTATTTATACAAGAATTATCCTAGTATATAATGGAGCCTATATTTGGGGTAAAAGTGGTTACAACATTTTGAACCTTTCTTGAATAATGATAAAAAAATGATTATTAAATGTTTATTCAATAACATTAAGTTACAAACATATCATCGTCCCGATTTCTGCCCTTTTTCTCGGACTGTTGCCTCAAAAACTGCAACCCAGCTGTAATAGATTCTGCAATATCCTCTTTTGGCTTGGACGTTTTTAATTTTTTACTTAGACTTGGTCCATAATAATCAAAAGTAGGCGGAGGGGCAATCTCAACACCTTTTCCGCGTTTATCTTCCTCATAACTTCCTCTCATTAATTCATCAGAATCAGAATTTGAATCAGAACATTCGTTAATAATCGGCCTTCTTTGAAACTGAGTTTTTTCTTTATAAGGATTTAATTTCTTTGCAGGATTATTAATTTTCGGAGGTGGTTTTGATGTATCAACTTTAAATTTGTTATCAACTCGTTTCTTTCGCTCATTATACGCTTTAGGGGGTGCGAATTCATCGTTTCTTTCCCTTCGTTTCTTATAAACCCATTCTTCTTGGGTCAACTCTTCTTTAACACCTTCTTTTCCAATATCCCACGGCCTAATATGTCGTTTTCTTTGTTCTTCGCGTTTACGATCTGCTTCAATTTCTTGTGGGGTACTTTTCGATTGATTATCTTCTAAATTTTTTTCAATAACTTCGTCAGTTTGTTCTGATTCTTCTTCTGGGGGTAATCCCATTCTTTCTCGTTTTCGATTTCTCGCCGCTTTCGCCCTAGCTGCTAATTGAGCGTCTCTTAATTTTTTTTTGTCTTCCGCTTTTTGTTGTTCGCGTTGCGTTTCTTCGCGAAGTTTTTTTAGGGCTTCTTGTTGACGCGTTCTTTGACGCTCGTCTTTTGAGAAGCCGTAATAACCCACGCCGTGGACTCTAGCTTCGTCGAAGAGGATATCTTGGTAATGAACGTCGCTTTTTTTGGTTAATTCTTCCTCTTCTTTTTCCCATTTTTGTCGTAAAAGCTCTGTTCTCATATCGTTTGATAATAATTCAGAGTTTTCGTCGAATTTGATATCATTGTCTTTAATTTTTTCCTCATTCTTTTCGATTTCATCAATTTTATCATCGCTTTTTTCTTGTTTCTTTTTAATCGTTTTCTTTAACTCCACATCTTTTTCTTTAATGTGCTCTAAATCTTTCCTTAAACATTTCCTCGTTCTTCCTAAACAATCCGTGTACTCAACCCATTCATCCTCACGATTTTTGGCAGGTTCGTATTCGTCGGAAAAGTGTCTTTCTTCGTCACTTTCGGGGTAATGATCATAATCGTCTTCTTCATTTGAGTCATCGGGAGGTTTTGCATTCGTCAATTTCCTTCCAAATTGGACCAAAAATCTTTCGCTACCTTTCTTTTTCTTTCCTTGTACTAATTGTTCGTACAATTTCGATTTGGCTTCTAAAACATCTCGCGATTTTTTTAACAAATCTTCATCCTCCACTTCATCAAACTTCGATCGTTCGGTTACCCCTTTATTTTTTAATTCCAATGGGGTACTTTTCCGGGATTCTTGAACCGATTTCGCTTTATTTTGAAGCTTAGCTTTCGTTACTTCATCTTGTTTTCGTAAAATTTCCGCTTTTAAACTCAGCAACTAAAAAGTGAGGTTAGGATTAAATTAAAACGGATTAAACACGAAATAATAACTTACAGATGATTTACTTATTTCGTACGTACTCATTTCGTAACGAATTTTTATTATTAATTAACCTTTCAATCTTTAATTATCAATAATTATAATAATTTTTAATTTTGACGTTTCTCATGAAGGTTATGTTATTTTTTTTAAGGTTATGTTAAACGTCATTAAACGTCAGTTCTAAGTGGATTTTGATTTTATGCATTTTATGTGCGAATTAAAGATAAGATTGAAGGTGAAGTGAGTTAAAACTTATTAATGCGTAAGTAAATATATAACAAGGGTCAAATAAAATGGAAATATTCAACTTGGTTTGTGTTGGTAGAGAAAAAAAGAAAACAAGGAAGACAAAGATCTATATAAATCTGAGTAAAAATCTATTTTTAGAAGATCCTCATCGAAACGTTTTCGGTTTAGTTAGTATACGGGTGAGGAATTTGTGGAATTCGAACGATTTCGAATCCACCAGCGTTGCAAGTGCCATCTCGCGAGGTATTTGGTCGGTGGGCAAGTCTTCTCGGTTTATTAGAGAGAGCTTGGTGATTTTTTTTGTGTCCTATACGTTCCTAAAGTGTGTGTGTTCCGTTTTTGGGGCCGGCATCGTCTAAATTTGCACCCTTTTATTCGCAGCTTTCAGTTCTTACTTCTGTAAGTTTGCGTTTAGACCCGAACGGGATTCGTACATCGTTTTCTTGTCGGTTTATTTGCGATTTCGCGAGAGCCAACTAACCATCCTATACATATGTTTGTTTTCGTGCATTCCGATCTAATTTTCTCTCAACTACTGAGCCGTATACAGACTCCCTTCCTACATACTTCGATATATAAACGTTTCTAATATTATTTCACGGGTAACGAGTATATCATAGTCTCAATCCCGAGTTTGTCCCGTTTATAATTCCTCCTTTTTTAACTCGTTAAAAACATCGTAAAGTTATCTCTTTTTTTCTTCGTTTCTTTTTAGATGTTCAAACATAAAAGTGTTGAGAAGAATTCTTTTGGGGCTTTTCGATTATGAGCGCTCTACAACAAACGAACCGTTTTAGATCACGAATTCTACCACCACAAGGTAAATTTTTTTTTATACTTAACCTTACCTAAAAATTTAAATTATTTAAAATAAATAAATATATTAATAAAACATAAATTGTTTTATAAATTAATCAAATCAAAAGATGTACGATTTTATGTATTAATAAGTTTTGACATTTGAAATCTGTCAAAATAGGCAAGTAAGAAATGTCAACAGCGCCATCTCTGTTTTGGAAAGGTACTGAAATCAAAGCGCAAGAATCATTTTATAACAATGTTTAACACACGTTTTCCTTGTTTATAAATATACTTACTCATTATTATAGACACATAGTCATCTTTGTGCTTTCTTCCAAGGTTAACATTGTAGTTAACATAAACTAACAAAAATTCAGTGTGACTTTGACGTCTAATCTATGTACTTCCTTTGTGCCTTCTATTTGTGCTAAATAAGTTAAAAACCCAACAAGAAGGTAAAGAGAAATTAATTAAAGGAAGAGACATAATTGGAAAGAAGACAAACCTTTAGCTTTCGTTTTGGCTTTTATCTAGCATTTGGTCTTTTTAGCCGATTAATTAAAAAAATCTGACTTAGCATATTAAAGAAAGCAGAGAAAAAGTAGAAAGAAGGTAAACAGAAAGCAGGAAGGCCAAAATATAAGTCAGAAAAATAGCAAATTTAGACATCTGCAGTATGTTTCCTGCAACTTTGTATTTGGTTTCCTTTAGCAGGTTATGTAACCAATATTAGTAATAAGCCAAAATTTTGATCAACTTAGAGGCTTAACACTTCATTCTTGAATTCAAACGTTAAAATATGGTTAAAAAATGACTTGTTTATGATTTAATTTTAAAATCACATGGCTAATAGCGCCATCTATAGAGTAAAATTGTTGTTAAAAAATAACTGTGAAGTTAGTCGTTAAAAAAAAATTAAATAGTTGTCAAAAAATATATGTTGTCATTTGCAGAAAAAATATAAAACGTTTAGAAAAACCTTTGTTTATAAGTTTCTTTGATTAAATAATCAAGCAAGATCAACAAATAATATTTGGCATATTTGAATTTGGCAAAGGGAAGCGGGACAAAATAAAGCAGCCTTTGGCAAGCTCAAGGTAAAATGTAGAGTAGCTAGCAACATAACATTTAGTTAACATTTCTGTACTGAAGAAGATGTGCTTGACCATGGAATTCCAAAATTATAATTGAAATTTTATTGTTGAAAACGTATTAATGTGTTATTATTAATTTTTTAATGTATGATTTTAGGTTTTACCCAAAGTTTAAGTGGTAGCGAAACAGATGTATCAACATCAAATGAAAATTTATCAAATGAAGAGAAATATGTTATTAGACACACACCAAGGCAAGAGCCGCAAGGACAAGAAAATTTGCAATCTTCAAATAGGAGCTCACTCAGAGATAGTTTACCATCAAATAGAAGTTCTTTGGACGTTTCTTCGTCGTCTTATAACACCCTGATTATTCACAGCGCCGGGGATGAACCTTGGTTTGGAAGAAATTCAGGTACGAGTGACACAAACCCGCCGAGTTATATTAATCACCAAACCTCGTTGAGCCAGGAGAATAAATTATCGCCAATTCAAAAACGAATTTCACCATCGACATCGATAAACAGTTCTGGTTTACAAGAAATAACCGATATTCCCGACGATTATTTGAATCAATCCTCAGTTTTGAAACATTTAGCTAAAGAAGTCAAAGTTATTAAAGATCCGCAAGAAACGTCGAATCAATCTCAAAAAGGGATGGATTTAAAATATGATTTTGAAGGGAGACCGCCTCCGCCCGAATATCCCAAATGGGGGGGCAAATCAAAAGAGAAAACCGATAAATTTAATTTATCCAAATCTCAACCGGATCTTTCAAAAATTGGGTTGGGTAAAATCGGCGGGGATTTAGCCGCGTTTAAAAAAACCGTTACGGCTCCACGCCCTAAAACGAGAGGCCGAGAGGAATACGATGCCGGAAAAGATGAAAATGAAATGTGGCAACTTTCCGAAACCATCGAGCTGTTGATGCAAGAAAATAACGCTTTGAAACAGGAATTAAATAGTTGTTATCAAAGAGTTGCCAAAACACAAAAGGTAAATTAACAATAATATTTGTCTTATAATTAGGGCACGATACTTTTGTAACAAAACGATACGATTTTACCCCTCCACTCGTTCTCAACTGAAAATTTCATACAAAAGTTGTTCTAAATTAAATTCTAAAACGATTTTTTCATTAAAAAAATATGTAGATACAAATTTTTTTGAGATTACGTTCTTAATTATTGATCAAATCAAAAATCTTTATTAACAATATTTGTTTAGAATTACTTCAGGAACAGTGTTTGTTAATACAATTTTTTGCTAACTTGAAATTTTAATTTCCCTCTGAATAGTATGCTATCAAAATTAATTATCTCAATAATTATTNGATATTCCCGACGATTATTTGAATCAATCCTCAGTTTTGAAACATTTAGCTAAAGAAGTCAAAGTTATTAAAGATCCGCAAGAAACGTCGAATCAATCTCAAAAAGGGATGGATTTAAAATATGATTTTGAAGGGAGACCGCCTCCGCCCGAATATCCCAAATGGGGCGGCAAATCAAAAGAGAAAACCGATAAATTTAATTTATCCAAATCTCAACCGGATCTTTCAAAAATTGGGTTGGGTAAAATCGGCGGGGATTTAGCCGCGTTTAAAAAAACCGTTACGGCTCCACGCCCTAAAACGAGAGGCCGAGAGGAATACGATGCCGGAAAAGATGAAAATGAAATGTGGCAACTTTCCGAAACCATCGAGCTGTTGATGCAAGAAAATAACGCTTTGAAACAGGAATTAAATAGTTGTTATCAAAGAGTTGCCAAAACACAAAAGGTAAATTAACAATAATATTTGTCTTATAATTAGGGCACGATACTTTTGTAACAAAACGATACGATTTTACCCCTCCACTCGTTCTCAACTGAAAATTTCATACAAAAGTTGTTCTAAATTAAATTCTAAAACGATTTTTTCATTAAAAAAATATGTAGATACAAATTTTTTTGAGATTACGTTCTTAATTATTGATCAAATCAAAAATCTTTATTAACAATATTTGTTTAGAATTACTTCAGGAACAGTGTTTGTTAATACAATTTTTTGCTAACTTGAAATTTTAATTTCCCTCTGAATAGTATGCTATCAAAATTANTGTTGATGCAAGAAAATAACGCTTTGAAACAGGAATTAAATAGTTGTTATCAAAGAGTTGCCAAAACACAAAAGGTAAATTAACAATAATATTTGTCTTATAGTTAGGGCACGGAACTTTTGTAACAAAACGATACGATTTCCCCCCTCCACTCGTTCTCAGCAGAAAATTTCATACAAAAGTTGTTCTAAATTAAAATTCTAAAACGATTTTCTCATTAAAAAAATATATATAAGTATACAATTTTTTTTGAGATTATGTTCTTAATTATTGATCAAATCAAAAATTTTTATTAACAATATTTGTTTAGAATTACTTCAGGAACAGTGTTTGTAAATACAATTTTTTGCTAACTTGAAATTTTAATTTCCCTCTGAATAGTATGCTATCAAAATTAATTATCTCAANAATACATTGGAAATATTTTATTTAGATAGACGAAAATATTCTAAAACTTTTTTGCCTCTCTGATGTTCTTCGAAAAGTTAATAGTTTCTGAGAAAAAAATTAATTAAGCAAACACTAACTGTTAAGCTGTAGCGTTGTTAATCGATAGTTGGAATGAATTTTTAAAGAAAAAATCCTAGGAGGCTTAGCAATCTTTGTCAAAAATATTTTTGACGTTTAAATGTCAGTGGTTTACTTACCACTACCGTAAATGCGGTAGAAATTTATTCATAAATTAATTTGAAAAACAATAATAATAGTAAGAAAACCACTGACATTTAAACGTCAAAAATATTTCTGACAAAGATTTCAACTTTTGATTGATAACCCCGTTGTTGAACGGGCAGTGTTTGCTTTATTTTTTTTCTCAAAAATCAGTCGTTTTTGGCAAAATTTTAGAGAGACAAAAAAGTTTTAGGATACTTTCTACCTATGTAATTTTTTTTTAATGTATTTACTCTCTGCATAAAAAAAATTTTGCAAAAATGTAAAGGGGGTGGTTACGTTTAGTAGTTTAGAAGGATAGGTTGAAAGTACAAATAGGGTGAAAACGTGCCCTATTACCAGTTAAACATATTCCCCAAATTTCCTTGTCCTAGAATTTATGGTTTCTGAGAAAAAAAAATTTAACCAAAATTTTCCGGCATTTTTGGAGGGATGTAGCTCCATAGAGGAGCCCAAGTCGCCCATGGTTTATATATCAAAGTACCCTTAAAATTGCCTAAAGAATCACCCCTGAAGTTTGGGGCTTTTAATTATTATTGGGAGAAGGTCTTCTAAACCTTTTTGCAGAAAGATAGGCAGAATTTCGTCTCCTCCAGGCGATTTTAGGGGCTTGAAATTCGAAATAGCCCACCTTACTCTGCTGGGTGTGAAAATATTCCCAGCTGTGCTGCGAACCCTACCTGATGGGCGGGTTATGTCCATTACTTCAAGGTCGGCATCTGCATGGGGGCAGACTTTTGATGAAGGAAAGTGTGTACTCAGTAGGAGCTCCAACGATTCCTTAGCATCCTCTGTATATTTACCATCTTGTTTGCATAGGTGGCCTAGATCAGTGTTGTGATCTTTTGCCAAGATCTTATGCAGACGAGCAACTGTAGGCGTATTGTCTATGCCTTCACAGAAGCTGCGCCAGGTTTTTCTTTTGGCTTTGCGGATAGCCAAGTTATATTCCGTTAGGGCTTTTCTATAGACATCCCATGTTTGCTCGAGTTTGGAATTCCTGACTTTATTATATAGTCTTCTAACCATGACTCGCTGGTTTTCAAGGTCCTTATTCCACCAAGGCACATTGGATTGTGCTCTTTTGTGTTTTATTGGACAGCTTGATTCATACGCACTATGTATGAGATTGTTTAGTTGAAAAGAGGCTATTTCAAGATCCTTTCTGCTTTCAATATTTGTTTTGATTTCATCAAGCTCTTCGCTGATGTGTCTACAAAAAGAGCACCAATCAGTGACTGAGGGGATTCTGAATTCTGATTGTTTTGTCATGTCTGCTACAATGACAAAGCGAATATGCTTGTGATCCGCTAAAGTGATTTCACGTGAAACATGCCAATTTGCGGTTTGCGAACTGAGGCGAGACGTGGCTAGGCTTATGTCTAGCACCTCTTGTCGACTCCTGGTAACAAAAGTCGGTTCGTTACCTCTGTTGAGGATATCTAAATTTGTAGGCCATTATTGTTTGGCGGGTGCAATTTTGGGAGCGGCAGTTTTGTCCTTACCCTTTTTTTCGGAACTAACGTTACCTGTACCCTTCTTGGGGTCCTTGGCGGTTCCGGAAGTTCCAGGTGTTGGTTCGGGTTCTTCCTTCTGTGGTGTAGGCTTGCCGCTCTTTTGCCTCAGGGTGATTTGCCCGAACTTGTAGCTAACCTTGTAGTTAGTTATTTTAAGGTTCTCTACAGAGGGATGGTCAACGGACAACGTAAGAAAGGCACTGCTGCCTTCGGTCGTCCTTTTGAGCACACTCCATTCGTTGGTGTTCAGGCCTTCGTTCTGGCCTTTAACAATTTTTAAAATGCGGTCTGATTTCTCATCCACACTGTTGGGGAAATAGGCGTTCATGGTAGTCGCTCTAGGTAGCCCTTTTTCATCGATAGCCATTATCCAGTCCGCTGTTTCCTGGTTTTCGCAGTTGACTACCAGCCATCCTGCCTCAAATGTGGTGCCGAGGAACTTAGGCTTGATGTCGCCTTCATGTCTCTCGCTAAGGTCCACAATTCTTGAGATGATGACCTCTTGAATAGCCTGCATTTGGGCTGTTGTGAGGTTCACCTCTGGAAATAGGGAATCTGCAATACCCATCTTTTTACCTTCCAACACCTGCTTGAAGCTGGCAACTGTAGGCTTTTGCCCCTGCGGAAGATTGCCTCCGCTAGGAGCGCTACGCCTTTCAGTAGCAGCTCGTTTGGTGTCGGGCCCTTTAGGCGTTGTGCTTTCGGAGCGAGGTCTCTTAGCCCTCTTCTCCTCCTCACTGATAGGCTGTGTGGCCTTTGCTCGGGCTTCCTCGAGAGTCAGCCCTTGTTTGAGCAGCCACCTGAGCCTTTTCCGTGCTGCACCACATAACTTTTTTTCCTTGACTTGGAGCTTCTCTATGCTCTCCTGAAGTTCGATGGTCGCAGACGTTAAGACGCTGCTGGCACTGGAGGAAGCGGGGGACAGTGTGATGTCCTCTACGGATTCACTAGNCGTAAGAAAGGCACTGCTGCCTTCGGTCGTCCTTTTGAGCACCCTCCATTCGTTGGTGTTCAGGCCTTCGTTCTGGCCTTTAACAATTTTTAAAATGCGGTCTGATTTCTCATCCGCACTGTTGGAGAAATAGGCGTTCATGATAGTCGCTCTAGGTAGCTCCTTTCCATCGATAGCCATTAGGGATGCCCCCTCCCACGGTTGTAGGTTTGGAGTTACGGACTTTATCCAGTCCGCTGTTTCCTGGTTTTCGCAGTTGACTACCAGCCATCCTGCCTTAAATGTGGTGCCGAGAAACTTAGGCTTGATGTCGCCTTCATGTCCCTCGCTAAGGTCCACAATTCTTGAGATGATGACCTCTTGAATAGCCTGCATTTGGGCTGTTGTGAGGTTCACCTCTGGAAATAGGGAATCTGCAATTCCCATCTTTTTGCCTTCCAACACCTGCTTGAAGCTGGCAGCTGTAGGCTTTTGCCCCTCTAGTAGGCATTGCCTCCGCTAGGAGCGCTACGCCTTTCAGTAGCAGCTCGTTTGGTGTCGAGCCCTTTAGGCTCTTAACCCTCTTCTCCTCCTCACTGATGGGCTGTGTGGCCTTTGCTCGGGCTTCCTCGAGAGTCAGCCCTTGTTTGAGCAGCCACCTGAGCCTTTTCCGTGCTGCACCACTTAACTTTCTATTCTTTGACGTGGAGCTTCTCTATGCTCCCCTGAAGTTCGATGGTCGCAGACGTTAAGACGCTGCTGGCACTGGAGGAAGCGGGGGACAGTGTAATGTCCTCTGCGCTTTCGCATTTTGCATTTTGCATCTACCTCTTCTATAGTTTTTTTGTTGCTCTGTTCCATGAAAGTCCCACGAGTAGCTAGGGAAAGGAGGAATTAAGCGATAAAAGTCTGCGGCATAAGCTGTTCCACCTTGACTTTGGGGTTTTTACTGAGGTTGTCTCCTCTTGATCCGGGCGGTTAAGCCAAGATCCCCCGTGCTGGAGTCCAGCAAGCTGTTCTTGATTGTTACCCTCTTCCTCACATACAAGACTTCAACTTACATTTAAATAACTGTACAATATTCTCGAAAGTTGATTTGGTAAGAGCGAGATTTAGAAGATTGAGTGTTGATGTTGTAATCATTTAATTGTTAGAATAGTTGAGTTAAATGTGATATAAGTTCGGTTACATCCTTGCTTGCAATGAGAATATTGTCCAAATAAACATAAAGGAAATTGCAACATGACTACATGACTTCACTGTTGAAACGTTGCAACGTTTGGGCAGCATTCCGAAGACAAAAGCGCATTCTTGTAAATTCGAATAGACCGAATAGGGATTTGATGATAAGCTCTTACGAAATCAACTTTCGAGAATATTGTACAGTTATTTAAATGCAAGTTGAAGTCTTGTATGTGAGGAAGAGGGTAACGATCAAGAACAGTTATTAAATTTAGATGACGATAATCTCCACAGAGTCCCCAATAGTAGATAAATAATGAGAGTTCTGGACCGGCAGTGATCCTGAAGGATCGAAGGATCGGGCGGGAAATTTGAATTTCGATCCTGTAGGATCGATGATCTTGCGCATGCGCGCCGGAAGTGACGTCACACGATCCTTAAGGATCATCCTTAAGGATCGGTCGACGGTGGCGTCACCGGTAGCATCCTTAAGGATCGGTCGACGGTGGCGCCACCTGTAGCAATCCTTAAGGATCGGTCGACGGTGGCGCCACCTGTAGCATCCTTAAGGATCGGTCGACGCCCCTTCAACCCAACCCAACCCCATCTTAGCGCCCTATTGACCCCCTTCAACCCAACCCAACCCCATCTTAGTGCCCTATTGACCCCCTTCAACCCCATCTTAGTGCCCTATTGACCCCGTCGACGCCGAAATAATAATACTTACCTTAAAAAAAATGTTATTTATTACTGATTGAGGGTAGCAGGAGGAAATCACACACAGAATTAATACGATAAATAAATGT